TCTTACTAACCATATAATGATTATCTTTTCTTCAAAAAAAATTTTCCTCTTAAAAAAAAAAATTTTTTTTTTTTCTGTCTCTATCCATCTATCCCATTATCCCATTATCCCATTATCTCTCTATCACCTCTCTATCCATTCCAATCAATCATGTCTCCAGGCAACAGTAATCTAGCGCATATCCCATGCAAATTTTTCAAGAGTGGAGCTTGTACTGCAGGAAAAAATTGCGTCTTCTCTCATAGCAAGGATCCTCCATCTGATAATTACGTTTGTAAATACTTTTTAAAAGGAAACTGCAAATTTGGAAGTAAATGTGCTCTTTCTCATACTTTACCAAATGAACGTAAATTAAGTTCAACCGGTAGAAATGGAAATGGCAAAAATGGAAGGAATAGTATTTCCAATAGTATCATTCCAGAAATTAGGTCACCTATGATGCTTCCTCAAGATCTTAATGATTATCAACCTCTTAATTCTCCTGGAATTCCTCCATTTACTCGTATTCCGATTAGTTCTTCTGAATATGCGAATAACAGACAGTTCAGTCAATTAACCGCCTCTTTGAATGATCCATCTGCTTACTCTGATGAGAATCATACCGCTCCAAGATTACGAAATATCAATAATAGTTTTAGTAACGATCATTTAACTGCACCAATAAATATTAACGGTCAGCAACGAAGATCACTTCCTGATATTTTTCATTTGGGTGGTCCAATGAATCATAATAATAATAATCATAATCATAATAATAATAATCATAATAATAATAATCATAATAATACTGCTGAATCTTTTGGAACTTCTCCATTTCATAATCCTAACAGCAAATCAATCTTTTTACCACTTTCTTATGTTAGCGATAGTGGTCTGCTATCGCCTACTGCTAATTCTCATCATCTTCATAGTATTCCTGAACTTCATGATTATTCACATGATACAGTCTTTGATGATTTTGGTGCTTATGAATACGAAGAATTTATTCCTTCTTCGTTGAATGACTTGTTGACTCCAACTGAACGTGAAAGACGTCGAAGTAGACAAGAAGAAACTTCTGAATTAAGTCCTAGGAGATTATTCAATGGTTCCTCTACGTTACATCCTTTGCATATAGATGGTCAACATCTTAATTATTATAATTCACATGTAGATCCTACACATATTCATTTTGCAGGAAGGTCTTTGCCTCATGGCATTGGTTTAGGATTAGCTGCTAATTACATGAATCAAAATGAAGGTCAACAAGTTAATAGTGCATATGGTGGTCAACATCCTTTTGGAATTCATTCTGGTACAAGTATGAGAAATAATACTTATGGTGAAGATTGGAATGATCAACACTCCCCCCTTAGTCCATTACATATTCACAATCAAAATAATCATCATTTCAATCATAATAACCCATCAGGTTATACTTCTGATCATCATGGTCCTTACTCGGGTACTCCAGCTATAAACATTCCATTACCTCACGAGGTTCATCAAACTGATACAAACTCTCCATTGTATCCTAGTTTCGGCATTATAGGCCGACCAAACGTAAATAATATTAATGGCAATGGTAATAATGCCAATGGTCGTCCAACAACGCCTCCAGATCCATTTAGTCCTTTTGTCAATGATGATGATATCTTCTTTAGCATGGAAGAGGATAAAAATGATCAAATGTCAGTAGAAGCTTCTACTCCGAAATCATCCGAACAACCTAAAACTCCTCTTTCATACTCTGCAATTACCAAAACGGGTTTGAAGGATTCTGGTGCAACTCCCGGACTCAGTATCGACTCGAGGCGTTATGAGCCGGTTTGTTGATATAAATATAATATATATATATATAATTAAAAAAAAAAAAAGACTTTCCTATGGAAAGTTCGATATGTATCATAATATTTTCAATTTTTGTTAGTGAACTATATATATTTTAAAAAAAAAAAATGATTTGAATGCAAAAAAATTTTTTATTTTTTGGGGGATGGGATTTTTATAATTTTTTTTTTTTTTTTTTTTTTTTTTTTTTTTTTTTTTTTTTTNTAAAATTATAATAATTTTTTTTTTTTTTTTTTGTTGCTTTAAGTTTTTAATGATGTATAAAATGGGAAATAATATCCTTTCTTTTTGTATCTTTTCTCTTTTATTATTTATTGTTTTGGCTAAATCATAGTTATGTCCTTTCGGAATGGCTGGAAACTGTCGATATGGAGATCACTGTCATTATCTTCATGGTATGCCTTGCCCTTCTTGTCTTAAACATGTCTTGCATCCCTATTCTACTCCTGAAGAACACCAAGGTATGATTTTGACGTTATTATCTGAAATTAAATTTAAGAAATTGTTTAATAAAATAAATTGCCTTTTAAAATGTAGAACACATTAATGAATGTATTAACAAGCAAGTCCAAGTTGCCGATGGTGTTAAACCAGAAGAAGTTGAATGTGAAATTTGCTTTGAGAAAGTTTTATCAAAAACAGACGCTCGTTTTGGTCTATTAAGTAAGTTATTGAGAAATTATTTTTATGTATTAAATTAAAGTGTAAAATCACGAGTATTGACAAATTTAAAATAGATTGCGAGCATGCGTTCTGTTTACAATGTATTCGTCAGTTGAGATCTGTGGATAATCAACTTACTCGTGCATGTCCCGTTTGTAGAACACCAAGTCACTTTATAACTCCAAGCACTACTTGGATTACAGATCGTGCTGAGAAACAAAGGGTGATCAACGAATATAAACGTAAATGCAGGTAAACGCGAAAATTTAACATTTAATTTCACTTTTTTTCTCTTTGAATCAAAATATAATTTATTTATGTTTTTTTAGCACAATTCCGTGTAGAAATTTTAATTATGGTGAAGGACAATGTCAATTTGGTGCTTCTTGTTTCTACGCGCACACTTATCGTGATGGCACAAAAGAGGAATTTAATGTTCGTACTATTCAAAATGGTGAAGAAGTTAAAGTCTTAGATAACGTTCGTTTATGGGATTTCTTGGAAGATTTTGCAAACAAACGCACAACTACCGAAAATTTAACCAATGAATATGGTAATGATAATAGCGGAATGTTGAATGGAGAGAATAACTACGGTGAAAATAATAATAATGATAATGAGACTGATTATTCTACGGTTACTCTCACTACTTTGATGTCAAATTTGTCAGTTGATTCACCAGTTTTCATACCTTCTGTTAATGGGTCTGCTGATTTCATGAAAAATGACTCAACTGAGGAGAAGTATTATTGATATCCTCGGAGAGAAACAAAGCAATTGAAATTAATTGATTTATAGAAATAGGTTAAAAAAAAAATAATAATAAGGCTTGCAGCATGCGATTTTTATCAAAAAAGGGAAAGAAAATCGTTTTCCGCATGCCCAAAAGTAGTTTCTTTAGTTAGATTATAAAAAAAAAATTGAGAGATCAAACGAAAAAAATTTTTTTTTATAAAAAAATTTTATGTACAAAATTAATTAGTTTGATCAAATCTTTTGTTATAAATAATATATATACAGTATCAATATCAATGTATACAACAAAACGAAAATATTTCTATTTTTTCTTTTTTTTTATTTTTATTGCTTAAAAAAAAAAAAAAATACCATATAATTATATAACTTGAATAATTAATCATATATTTCATTTTTTTTTTGTATTTATTTTTATAACTTTGTATTTTAGAATATATTATTAATATTATATTATATTATTTATATATATAATAATTGTCAATTAGTATATGTGGGATTTTATTTATAAATTTGACATGTATAAATTTGCATATATATATCATTATATTTTTTTTTTTATTGTTTAAATAAATAAAATTTTTACAAGTGTTAACATTATTTTCATTTAAAAATAAAATTATAATACAAATTTAGTTCAATTTGTTCAATTATTTTATGGTAAAATTAATCATAAAAAATATAAGAAATAAAATTATTATTTTTAAAAACAAAAATTATTAAAGATTATTTATTTATCTTATAATACTGAATCAGTGAAAAAAATTACTAAGTTAGACTTTTTTTTCTAATTTAATAAAAATAAATAATTTAAAATAATATTACTATTTTTAAATTTATAATAAAGATTTTTTTAAGTTAAAAAATGCTAGAAAAAAAATAAAATTTTTATTTTTTTTTTGTAAGTTTTTTTTTTTAAATTAATTAAAATTTCCAAATTTTTTACAATTAGTATAATTAGTATTGGTCAGTAAATAAAAGATATATTCCAGCAATTACTTTTAAAAAATTCAAATTAATGTATTTCAACTAATATTCAATTTTTATAAAATAATAACCATTAGATTTAACTTATTATTGAAAGAAATTTAATGAACTATAAATTTTTAATTTTTGACTATTATATTATAAAATAACTTAAATGCTATTTTAATTATTATACCTTAGTAAGTATTATTTCTATTAATATAAAAAATTTTACTTAATAAGATGAGTTTAATAAACAAAAAATCATTAAATCCAATTATTGGATATTAAAATAATGTATTTTGAAATTATATTAAATGTTTATATATATATATATGGAAAAATAATTATATTATATTTCTATCTCTATTATTTGCTTATATAATCCTTTGTTTTACAAATCTTCTTATTAAAACTCATACTATAATGGAAAATCCCATTTTCATTATTATCAATAAATAATAGTTTGTTTATTAAATAAAATAAATATAATCATTATTATTTTAGCCAATTGCTATTATAATTGAATTTTAAAAAATTTTATTAGTCATAAAATTATTTGTCTGATATATTACATTTTAAAATTTAACACAATAATTTTCAAAATATTATTATTATTAATAAAATAATTATGATTATTAAATTAAAAAAATTTTATTTAACTAAATTTAAATAAAACTAAAATTAGTTAATAATAATATCATTTAATATTAAATTTGATCGATTATTATTTTTATTAACTAAAAATATCTGATATATCACATTCAAAATTTATAATACAGCAAATTACAAAATATCAAATTCCTCTCAATGAGACAAGTCTAATGGTTATTATTTCATAAAAATTGAAGCAATATTGGCTGAGATATATCAATCTGAATTTTATAAAGCAATTGCCATAAAATTAGGAGACATGTTCAGTGGCTGTTAGTATTTTAAGTATCTAAACTGACTTCTAAAATGGATGTCATTTCCAGTAATCAATAACAATTCTTGCTATCAGAATGTGGATTGGGCTTATAGCCTAAACTTTAAGCCCTTTATACTAATTTTATAAATATACCATTTACAAAAAAATAAAATCAACATAAAAATCAAAATGAAGTTCACTGTTTTGTTCTTTTCTTCCTTAATTATCTTTATTACTGTCATGTTTGCTAGTGTTGTAAAAGAAATTCTGATTGCCTTCCTTTTTTATTAGGTGTATGCTTATAGGTAGGTATTTTAAAGCATATTGATATTATTTACCAATTCTGAGTAAATTAATCTTAAAATATATCGGTACCAGGTAACGGTAAAGTTGCTAATGCCGAAACCCCTTATATAGTGCCGAAACTGCAAAACTACTGCGAAACCTCTATAATAAATTTATCCGTAGTATCGGCATAATAAATAGTAATGTTTTATACAAGCATAGTTTTAGAATTCCTAATTTTTTATAAATTTATATGTAATTAAAAAACATTGTATATTGTTTTATTGTAATACTTTATTTTATATTATAACAATACTTTTATTGAAAAAAAAAAGTCCAACTCAGAATTCTTTGTAATGCTATCTTTTGCTTTTAAACTTTGGTAAATAAAAGATAAGCACTTTGGCGTAGGGTTTATTTCGCTGCCAATGTGATACATTTAGTGAGATATAAATAGGATGCTTTGAAGTTTTTCTGAGATGATCACAAGTTGTTGAAATCGGCGTAAATTATTATCGATAATAATCAATTGTCAACAGGAATGTTTTTTTTCTGTGTTATACCTAGAATTCCAATCCGTCATCCGACGGATAATCACATTTTGACAGTTGTACGCTCATTTAATTAATATAAAAGAGCATTTTTTTTTTAAGGATATCCTAAGAGCATAATACAGTATATAATTTAATAAATAAACTTTTTTTTCAAAAATGAAAGTGAGGAGAAATTAGGAACGGATTAAAATATCATCCGACGGATGAAAATTTCAATCTGACTAAGATTTCACCCCATTTATTTTATGTTCAATTAATTAAATAATGCATAGTCTGATCACCTTACATCGAATGCAGTTCCTAAATTATAAATTATGAAACATAAATGTCTCTTTCCAAAAATAAATGAGAAGAGATTGATCATCCGTCGGATGACGGATTGGAACTCTAGTTATACCACCAATTACTTTCAACAAAAAGATGTATGGAATTGAACTTAAACAAGGCGATGAACAACAAGAATTTTTGACTTTTAGTAATTATCAACGTAAATAATTTAGAATCTAATTTGAAGGAGTATTTATTAGCGTCGAAACAAATTAAGAAATCTAACGTTAATGTTTTGAACCAAAGTTGAAGGAGTAGGACTTTAATTCCATGAATAATCGGCTGATAATAAAAATTGTAATCTAAACCCTGAAAATTTGGGATGGTTTCTTTTTTAAATTTCATATAAGGAAATTTGATAGCATCAAGAAATTTACGACCTTTCTTAGTATTTACTGGCAATAGAATTTTTCAGAATTATGTGATTCTTGACTACTTTTATTAATTAACTGTTAACTTAATTATTCTATCGCCGCAAGAATTGGATAATCGATACTCTGTGATAATTTCCATAATTCCCGATATATTTCATTTGGCCATTCAGATGCATCTTGTCAAATATAGCATCATCAAGTGTGGTTCCACCAAAATCTTCATGATCGATAGATAACGGATCTTAAATCAACATCATCAGTCTCATAATCAATTTCACTATTTTCCTCATTTGGATTTAAATCATGGTCACGAGATTCTACATTTTGTTTTAACGTTATAGTATATTGTAATTATTTAGTTAAATATTTCAAAAAAAAATTAGTTCGCTTTCTTCCTATGTTTTCAGTCTTACTTTTTCTAAACAAATCCAAAATTTGGAATTGAATTAGTTTCCGCTATTTTCAAAGGATATTATTGGAAAATTATCACCTCAATAACTTCGACTTTGTACAAGACGAAAAAGTAATCCTTCAGAAATTTCAACAAGAAATAATATCTATATCCAACATTAAAAATCGTAATATTCGATTGACTCATTGATATGTAACATCTGAATTCCTAAGATGATATAACTAGTCAAAAGTTAATTGATTAACTATTTGGAAGTAGAACCTGGTCTTTACAACGTTTTGATTAAGGTTCCGCAAATGATTCAGATTCCAAAGGAATCGTTCTCTTTCAAAATTTATAATGTAACTATATAATAATCATATTATTTTATAAAATTTTTCAACAATGCAATTATAAATACTGGCTAAATTGAACAGACTACCTGCTTTAAAACTAAACCTTAATGTTAATCTACTAATACTACAAGTAATTTGAAATTATAACAAATAATAACATTTTTTACATGATTTAAATAATCTATTATACATTTGAAAATATTTTAGTATTAATTATTGTCAGAATCATAAATGTTCACTTTCAATTCTTTCAATTTCTCAGTTGCTTTGGAATTTCCATTCAGAGCAGCTAATTTTATATATTTCAAAGCAGCTTTCTCATCTTTCTCCTGACCAAGTCTTCCATTAAGATAGATATCCCCTAAATTATGCATGGCAACATGATTACCATTTTCAGAAGCCAAATTTAAGTACCTAAGGAACTCTGAAATTTTGTTTTGGTCTGTCTTAAAATCCTTCGTGGCTGCAATAGCAAATGCATAACAAAGCTGTGCACTGGGGATACCATCATCAGCAGCTTCCTTATAGAGTTTAGTAGCTCTATCAAGATCCTTTTTGACAAATAAACCATTTTGTAAATAATATCCTTGCCAGTATTTCGCGTGAGCATTTTCAAATTTGGCATTCTCTTCAAAGCATTTCCAGGCCTTTTCATATTCTTTATTTTTATGAGCAGCAATTCCTTCTTCAAGAAGGGGTACTGTTTTTATGGGGTCAGGAAGGACATCGACAAGGGTATATTCCTCATTAAATGGTGGCAAATGAAAATCTTTGGATTTGGATCCATCCAAATCGATGGATTTATCAGGAAGAAGCCCAGAAGAATCATCAGAGATCACGTGTTTTGAGGCTAAATTTTCCAATGTCAAAAATAGTCGTGCAATACTTATACGTTCATATGGATTCTGACACCAGGCTTGAATTATATTTTTTATAGTCCAAAGTATAATGTAAGCATCAATTGAACAAAGAAAAGTAATTTTGTTATTTATTGCAAGGACAAAAAAAACATGAATAATCATACCTTGCCTAATAATATTTGCAAATTCCTTTTGAATTTCTTTATCTTCTGGGCTAGCAGGACCAAAATTGATTTTTTCTCTTCCACCCATCTTAACATAAGATGATATTTCATCAAACTTTCGATTTTCATAAGGAATCCTTTCGAAACATAGTTCCCATATAAGCATTCCAAAACTATTTAAATGACATTACATAATTACAAATTAACAATACGGAAAATCATGTTAAAATGTAGTACGTAGTTAAAAATATGAATTTTCTTTTAACCTAAAAATTTCACATTTTTGAGTGTAGCCTCCTTTTGTGTATTTATCATATTCCGCTTCCGATATTTTTTCTGGTGCTAACCAATTAATGATTTTTAAAATACCAGATTTAATATTTGAGGTTACGTCTCCTGTCATACGAGAAAGTTCAAAATTTGCAAGCTTTGGTTCTAAATTTTTGGTTATCTAATTATCATTAAATCGTGATGAGGAAATAAAATTATTCATGTTATGTTTTTTTAAGTATTATTCTTATTATTTAAATTAATTAGTGCCGTTACACATACCATCACATTTTCACATCTGATATCGTGATGAAATATATTAGCACCATTTAGAAACATGATACCACGACAAATATCGAGAACCATATGAACTTTTCTGTTCCATGTGATATCATATTGTTTGTAAACTTCTTTTAAATTTCCTTTTTCCGCCCATTCGAGAACCATAACAATATGATTATCAACATATGAAATTCCATAGAATAGGAGAATATTACGTGATTCACTTATTTTTCCCAAAATTGCAAGATGAGTTTGAGTTCTTTGATATTCAAGAGTATCTTTCTTTGGGATGATTATAGGTTTGCATGCTACTTCTATACCTTGTTTATATATTTTTCTAACAAGAAAAGGATCATTGCCACGTTGATCAGTCTTCCGAAAAATTGGTGGATCAGCTAAGAATGTTGAATCAACTTCAGGTGCATGAACTTCGGCAAAAATTGATATGCTATTTGTACTTGAAGCTTGTGTTTTTAAAAGTTCTACGGATTGATAAACCATATTAACCTTCTGGCTAAGACCATCAATACCACCTTCAACTTTTTTAACAAACTGATGTGAATGAAAAGCAATTTATGGTTTAGTGAACAGTAATTAGTTGAATAACCTATTAAAACAAATAATATTACATACTTCTAATGTTTCAGCAATATCTTCCTCAAGACTGACATTATCAATTTTTTTTTGTTCATCACTACTAATTATCATTGTAAAAGACAAATCTTTCATCGCCGTATCATAATCATCAATCAATTCAGTGAATTTTCCCTTAATAGCTGTTGATTTTAGATATTTCCTGAAACCATGAAGGTTTGTAACATCTCCAGCGAAATCTTTAATTTTTTGCAAGATCTCCTTAAATTTTACGAAAGATTTATAAAACGCTTGTTGAAGAAATAAAGCTTCATTTTCATCTTGTCTTCGTTGTAATATATTCACAGCAAATTCAGCTGCTTCTGCACGAACAAGCAATGCCTTGCAGATTTTTTTGTTATATTGAGCGGTTTCATAAATTTTAATAATTTGGCTGATTAAATTAGTTACTGTATTGATCAAAGGCATATAAGGTTTGATCGCATTACCGATAATATTGGCGGTATCAAGGGTACCCTTAGCGAACTCTATTCCGGTAGTGGCAATAGAATCCATTATATAAATTTTGATGAGATGTTGGCACTTTGCAGGTATTTATGTAAATGCAATCTGCATACGTAGTGTCACGATTTACGCCTTAATGTAGTGTCACGAACTGCGTGTCAAAAAAAAAATCTTGTTTTTCGTTAATTCGAATTCAAAGACGAAATGGATTCCCGAGACGAAACAGAAATTCCAAAAAAATCCATCGAAAATATGCAAACATCTTCATCTTTTGATGATATTATTAGATTTGAAGAATATGGTGTATGCTCCCAATGTCAAAAATTTAATACAAATTATGGATGGTGTATATTATGTGATCCTAAAAAATTGAATCAAGGGTGGACGAGTGGAAATACAGAAATTGATGAATTTATCAAAGAAACTCAACTCATAGCTGAGTCATATACGGAGAATTTTCTTGAATGGATTCCATTTGATAGATTCGAAAATATTGTTAAGATAGGGGAAGGAGGATTTAGCACCGTTTATCGTGCAACTTGGATGGATGGATATAGAGTATTATGTTTTGACAATAATTTATACGAACAGAATGTACCATCACGTAGCAAACCAGTTACAGTGGCATTAAAAACTCTGGGAAAATTTATGAAAGCCTCAAGTGATTCTTTACGAGAGGTAGTGTATTTGAACCTATAAAAAACAATTAAAATCGTATTAACAAAATTTTTTTTAAAAAAATTCTAATAGTTTAAAACTCATTATAATTGTGGTAGATTGACAATCCAAGTATATGGATTTACCCAACATACATCTACTAAAGAATATATGGTGATTCTCACATATGCTGATAAAGGAGATCTTCGGGACTATTTATCTTCTAATTTTTGCAATCTCAATTGGGAAAAAAAATTAACATTGCTTTACACATTATCTAAAGATTTATTCCCAATTCATAATGCTGGCTATACGCATGGTGACTTTCATAGTGGAAATATTTTACAATTAAGTAATAAAAGTGATCTTAATGACGATATTATTGCATCATCTGCTCCTGCATCATATGCCGCAATACAGTATGTTCCTAATTTAGATACAGATATTTGTTCATACATTGCTGACTTGGGATTATCAGCTCCTAAAGGTAAATTGAATGATGAAGTATATGGTGTATTGCCATATGTTGCGCCAGAGGTTTTACGTGGAGATCCATACACAGCTGCTGCTGATATTTACAGCTTTGGTATTGTGATGACAGAAGTATCGACTGGCAGGCCTCCGTTTAAGGATTATCCATTTGATATCAGTCTTGCACTCAAAATCAACAAAGGGTTAAGGCCAGAATTTGCAGAAGGAACTCCAGAATGTTATATTAAATTAGCAAACCAATGCATGGATAATGACAGTTCAAAACGACCACGTATAAAAAGAATTCAGGCAATATTGTTTAATTGGAGAAATATAATTCAAGGAATGCAAGGGATACTAGGAGATTCATCTGCAGGGGAGATTAAAATCAAAAAAGAATTTGAAGCTTCCGATAAAATAATTCCTATTTTTACAACAACCTTGCAAAAACATCAAGAAGTTTACAGAAGCCAGCGAATTCCAAATTTAATAAATTATGATGATGAAGTTCAAAAGAACTCCTCTAATGCTACAGGTAATGGGCAAATAATCCTTTTTAATGCATGATATTTATTTTTAGTTCAAAATGTTTAATTTATATTTGATCTTTTTTAGATTCTCTTGAAAATTTTTCGATTTCTGACTTTGATTAATTTACATCTACGGATAAAATTCATACGTGATATTCATTTCACACCAGAAAAGTAATACGTATCTTACGCGAAGGATGATCAAAACATTACGTAAACTAAATTCGATATGATAATGATAATAAAAATTTTGTTTACCTTATAAAAAATATCTATACTGTAAATTAGACATAAAGTTCGTAAGATGTGGTACATCATGTAAAATATTTTGTTAAATAATAAAAATTGTAAAAATAAAAAAAAAAAAAGTGGTGAAATCGAAAATAAAGAATAAACTGTAATTAAATACTCGAATAAAAAAAATATGCTTAACAAAATTATCATCAATTAATATAATAGAATTATAATTGTAAACAATTTTTTTTTTAAAACTTTCATAACCTTTTTTTTTTGCAAAAAAAATTTTATTTATAAAAATAATTTTTGATAAATTGTTTTACCAAACACTTTTGTTATTCCATCAATTCATTTATTTTTCATCTATTTTTTTAATTTTATTTTTTTCGCTTGTTTCTTCGATTTGAAGGCTGCACTTTAATTTGTATCGAGTTTACGGTTTACCACATGTAAAATGTGCAGTTAATACTTGTGCTAAAATCAACTATTTAGATTTTTATACAAAATTGCGCTCCGAACGTAAAATTTTTTGCTCCAAAAGCCTCTAAATAGCCTTAAAGCCAACTGAAACCGTGAATATGAATCAAGATCGTCAAAATTTCATTTCTGCTTTCGTTAACAATAAAATAACTAAATAATTTTTTATTAATTAACAATAATTTCGGGATAAATCAGACTTTATTTAAAGATTCCTAATAGTTAAAAAATATGTAAATTTATATTTGTATATACTAAAAGAAAGTGCTTAACAATGAAGCTACTGATATTTCGGACAATAGCAACGGTTATGGTGAAGAGTACATCCAGGATCACAGCGCAATTGAGCTTTAAAAATAAATTTATTTATTTTTTTTTTTTTAAAAAAAGGAAAGAAAAATTAAACATAATAAAATAATAAGCTTTATTTAATTATTAACCTTCAGAAACCGACGCTAAGGCTGAAATGATTACGATCACGTAAAAAAGAGTTCTGACATTCATGATTTTTTAAAAAGTTTTATTTTTCGTAAAGAATTATATTTCGATTTATTCAATGTTTTTTTTATTAAAATATGAAAGATTTATGATATTTTACGTCCTGTAAAAACATAACACCAAGTGATTATATATCGTTATTCCAAAATTGATCGACATCAGGTGGTTTGGTGTTTTGAGAGTTGGGATGGTAAAGTCCTAGGTCCTGGACCTAAAGACCTGGTCCTAGGACCTAGTCTGCAGATCTTTAAGGACCAGGTCCTAAATAAATAGTCCTAGCAATATCAATATATATTAGATAGAAATCAAACATAGGCCATAAGTAAAATTATATTATGTTTAAATTATATACTGTATAGTTTGCTAATTATAAAAAATGCACTGCGATATTGCAATGCAATTTTTATATAATTAAAATCATATAAAAAAGTGAGTTGCGATATTGCGATTATATTAAAATCATATAAAAAGGTGAATCGCAATACCGCAATTCACTTTTTTATATAGAATCAATATAAAAAAGTGAATCGCAATACCGCAACTCACTTTTTTATATAAAGTCAATATAAAATAGTGAATTACAATACCCAACTCACTTTTTATATAAAATCAATATAAAAAAGTGAATTCCAATACCGCAACTCACTTTTTTTATGTAAAATCAATATAAAAAAGTGAATCCCAATACCCCAACTCACTTTTTTTATATTTAGTTATCACTAGATCCATAATAACTTAGTTCAGAACCTGGTCTACAGGTCTGTTCAATAGGACTTATAGGTCCCAGGACCAGGACCGGACCAGGACCGACCACCATCTCTACGGCAAAAACACCACTAAAAAATTTTCAGTAATGTGACTTGACAAGTTTTATTGGTCAGATTTATTTTGTACAACATTATAGAGAAAAATTTTTGCAGCTTTTTTCAAGGAAAAAAATAGTGAGAGAACATTTACTTGTAATTTTTATAAAAAAAATATATAAAGAAATATTTATTTAAATATTTCTTATCAGTTATAATCCTTTTCACTTTATAAAATTTATTGTTGGTTTTTTTTTATTAAAGTAAGTGAATAAATTATTTATTATTTTAGAAATTTAACAATAAATTTTCATGTTATTTAATAATAGTAATTTTTTTTTTGTTTTTTTTTTTAATGATTTATATATGCTTTATTGATATGTAGTTTATATACCATACAAACAACTGAAATTATCATAAGCTTTAATAATAGTAATTAAAAGATAATTTTTATAATATATTAAATGGAAAAGTCTTATTCTTATTCAAAACTTGATAAAATACAATAAGTTTAAGAAAATAAAATAAAATAAATTATAATAAAAAAATAATATATATTTCAAGATGAATTACTGGAAAAAACACGCAAATACAAAACAGTTAGGATAAGAACTGAGAAGTAAGAACTGTAAAAAATATTACTTTTCATTGATATAGTATCTATTATTTTTAGATTAGTAGTATAAAGTCACATTACTGAAAATTTTTTGGTAAAATTTTTGAGGTAGTTGGTGAGATCAAAGTGGCATATATTTGGACTATTATAGGTTTTTTACTGTGGTTTAGTTTAAATTGGAGGGATTGTTTGAAATGAGATGGATATTCTTTTGGAAATTAACACATGATACTAAAAAGTTTCCATTTAATTTACTCTTAGATAGTTTATTAACTCTGGTAATATAGTTATTTAGAAAATTTGTTTTTATTAACCAGTATAGGAGGTATTCATATTGGCGGATTTGTTCACTTTTGCATAATGCTAAATTTTGAATGATTTTCATAATATCTGTCACCCAAAACTGGTTTGTAATGTCATAAAATCACCTGATTGAATATCACTTGACTAAATAATAAGTTGAGTGAAAATCTATATTTGCGAAATTTAAATTATTTAACGTAAAATAGACACAAAAAAACCCATTTCGTTAACAAAAAACCCATTTCTTACCTGCATAGTATTTTTAATGTGTATGATTAGAAAGTAAGTATGTTTTAATAAAACAAAAAGTAAAATAAAAATTTATATAGACACAATAGCTATGAATATTTATAAAAGTATTCTAAGACTCATTTAATATTTAAAAATTTTTTTTTTTATAATAACTTTTATAAAATTGTCTATTTTTTGCATTTTTCAAAACATATTATTAAGAGACAGATCGTCATTCAATCGGAGAAAATGATCGACATTCTATAATTAATTTTACGGGCTTTGTAATTAATAAAAAAAAATTTTTTGGAATTTCTTGTTCTTTACTATAAATTTTTTTCCAATAAGTGAAAAAAAACAGTATACAATAACTTTCATGTACAAAAAAAATATTTCATAAACTTGCACTATAGGTATACATATGTAGTTTTAGTAGAAACTGTACAGGTTTAACAAAGAATGTGAATATTAAAAAGATACAAATAAAACTAAATAAAGATTTAAAAACTAAATAAAAAACCAAATATAGCTTAGTTACAGTGAAAAATGTTCAAAAATTTTTCATCCAATATTTGGGTTAATAGGAAATTTACCGTCAGAATCTTGCGTTCTTACATAGAAAAGTCAAAGACGCGAAACTCTAGCGATTTCAAACTTTGCAAGTGGCTTAGCTAGGATTGTCACTATTAATTACCGTCTTTAAAATTTGTGTATCATATCACATGATGATATGACAATCCGGTAAAAAAGGAGTATTAGCCATTTTTAGCGATAATTTGCGTAAATCGGCATTATTAAAATTCTCCGGTTGAGTGGCGATTTGTCCCTTAATTTTTATTTATCTTGCTATAGACAAAATAGGAACTTTTATATTCAAACAAATTGTAAGCATATGTATTATTGATTTTTACATAAAAAAGATTTGAAGCTATTGTATAAAGTGAGATTCCACAACAGATATTATCAGTATTGCTAAGAATAATATTTATTGTATTTTGGTTTAAAAGAACTATTTATCAAATTTATCAAATTATTGTATTAATAAAACCAAATAAAATTTTTTTAATGTTCGTCCCAGATCCTACTGTACCATATGTAATAATTTGTGTAATAAAAGTACCTTAAAATAAACATGTTAATTAGAGGGTGAACAAATCTGCCGATATGTTACCAACTAGAGGCTAGCAGTTTTAATTTACAGATATGGATTATATTTTACTTGAATTTTAACTTGATGTATCAGTGATAGTGTTTTTTTTGGATTTTTATGCTGTGGAGTTTTTGTTTTATTGCACATATTCTTTACATTAGACCTTCTTTCTAAATGTATTTACCAGTTTAAGTAAATTATTTTGCAATGGTAATTTAGTAGTATTGTCTCAATTTGTAATTCTTTATGTAATATTTTGCTTAAAATCGCATCATATTAGATTTCTAACTAATATCTATTAATAAAATAAAAATACTTATGAATATGCCATAATGCCATATATATTTAGAAAAGCATAAGCTTTATATTATTTATATACATGGAATAATAAATGCTTATTTTTACAGCAGCTATAAATTCTAAATATCGATAAATTAAAAATTGTCACGTTAGCTACTGCAAGTTATATAAAACTAAGTTATTCACAGTCTTCTTGAATTAAAAATTATTCAAGTATTATTTATATATCTAGTATAATGTTTAAATTATATAAATTAATATTTTTGTTTAAAAAACTTATATAATAAGTTTCAATATATAAAGTAATTTAACAATAACTTTATCTTTTTATTTTACTGCCAGTACATTTAAACAATTTTAAATACAATAAATAGTAAGTATTTTAAATATTATTGTTATATATATAAAAATATTTATAGTAATACTTACACTTTAAGTCACCTTTTTTTACTTTTTAGTATTTTACATTCTTTTTACCATCTGCTGTATATTTTATTCCACCTTTTATTCTATTTTTAATTATTTTTTTTACATTTATAAAATTAATTTTACTTATAATTATTATTTTAAAAACATTCATATATAAATCATTAAAAAAAAAAAAAAATTATTTTAAAAACATTGAAAATAATTTAGATTATTCTATTATTATTGAAAATATTGTTATTTCTACTAAACAAAAGTTTATTTATATATTTGGCTTGAATTTTTTTATATTTTCAAAATAATTATTAATTATATTTATTTAAATTTGAAAGATTTTAAATAAATTATCTAAAATCTAAAGATATAATTTAATAAAGTTTATATATTAAAATTAAAATCAGAAAAATACAAATCTTATAATTATATTTATTGCATTTTTGCATTTTTGCATTTGTAATTGAATAACAAATAATTCTATTTAAAAAAAAAATTAATTAAAGTAATGTTTTAGAAAAATATTCTATTGTAAAAATTATAAAAAAAAAAAAAAAAAATACATCACATTATTTTAGCCCATTTGCAATATCATTGTCATATTTAATTTTACTATAAGTTTATTATAATTTTAATAAGATTTAGTATTTATAATAAGTTTTGTCAAGTTTTGCTTTTTTTAGAATTTTGCTAACTTTTTAATAAAACTTTAATATAGTTTTGATAAAGTTTCACTATTTCAGCATTTCTTCAACTTGTTAAAACTTCTTAGTATTTCTAGCAACCTTAATATACATTTATATGATTTATAAAATTTTATATTATAGATGTAAAAAATATACTTTATTATTATTTATTATATTATTATTAACTTTTCTATATTTAAAACCTATTATTATTAAAATATAACTATTATATTATTTAATTAAATTTATGTATATATAATTAGTGAATTAAAATTTAAAATTATGTGAATATATTTAAAAATATATTTTAATATAGATGAATGTATTTAACTATTAAATCTTAAGTTTAGAATTGAACTGAATTTAAAAGTATATTTATAAATAAAGTATTAAATATATTTATAAAAGGTATACTTAAAAAAATTAATTATAATTATATTAATAAATTATGCAAATTTATTTCTTATTACAGTCAACTCTTAATATAACGAAGTTGGTGTTCAGGCTGATCAGGCCTTCGTTATAGGAATATTCATTAATATGATGGGAAAATCTGGCATAACCTGTAAAATTTTTGTATATTATGGTATATTGTCATATAATAATTGTATCTTATAATGCAAAAATGCAAGTTACATAAAATATCATCATTATATTGAAAAAAATTCGTTATGAAAGAAAATTCGTTATTAAAAGGAGTATTTTTCATATACGGTTTATAAAATTTACTTCATTAAACGGTATACAGCATTTAATTAGTAAAATTCGGTATAATGAGATTTTTTTCATATGTTAAAATCTGTACTATACTGAAGATCCGTTATATTGTAAAATTCGTTATATCAAAATTCATTATAAGAAGAGTTGACTGTAATTTGTAAAAAAGAATTAAAGTATTATATAATAAAACTTATGATTCTATAAATATAAATATAAATAAAACATATATTGTTATAAATTTAAAAAAAAAAATAATTAAATGAAAATAAAAGTAGCAAAAATTTAAAATGTAATAATTCAATAAATAATAAATATAATTATACATTTATTTTAATTAAAATTATTTAACTTAATTTTTTTGGTTATTACAAATTATAATAGTTTTTTCAAAAAATTTTATGTCTAACATAATAATAATATAAAATTTTTTTTTTGTATATATAGAAATAAAAATATTAAAGTTAATTATTATTAAAAGAAAAAAATTTTAATTGATTTTAAAAAGACTTATATAAAGCAATTTTGAGTATTATAATTTTTATAACTATGTTTTGTAATTACTATATAAAATTTATAAAATCATAATTGTCAGGAAAAATTTTCACTACTTAATTTTTAAAGTTTTTAAAGTTTAATTTATTAAGTAAAATTTCAAGAAAAATTCATGGAAATTTTCTCTAATACTGAAGTTTAAAGTCCAATTAACAAATTAAAATTATCATTTTTTTAAGACTAAATTAATTATAAAAAGAATTATTTTTTTTTAATTAACTAAACTCTTTATCTGAAAAATTATTTAATATAGCAGGTAGTTTGTTTATTTAATTTATTTAATTCTATTATTACATATTTATATAAGATTAAATTCATATAAACATTTTGTATCAAAATATATTATTTAATAGCTGAATATTTGAAGTTGAAACGATATGCTTTAAGTTCATACGTACATTAAAAAAAAAAATTTAATTAGAACTTTAGATCTTGATCTTTTTGTTTCTCATATTAGTAGAGAGAAAGAAAATACATAAACCTATTCCACTTATAAAAATTAATCAGATAAAGTTACAATAATAATAAAAATTACATAGTATCAAATTTTTAAACACTAATCTCACGTGATACATAAAGACGACAAATAGGAGCAAAAAAAAACTAAGTAGTTAACAAACGAGGGGTGATACGGTATGACAACTTTACATTCCCCAACTCTAACGTCAATAAAGCCATTGCGATAAATAAATTTTAATTTAATCATTTATTATCATTACAATACAGTAAAAAAATAAGTATACATATAATTATACATTTCTTTAACAATAAATTTTCATTAATTATATATGATAAAAAAAAATTCCATTTTGCTTTTTAAGGAAGGGTGAAATATCTATCACCTATAAAACAAAGATTTGGTTAAATTTTCATTTTAAATATTTAAAAATTAATATAAAAATTACACTTACCAAAATCGCCTAAACCAGGTATAATATATTTCTTATCATTTAATCCTTTATCAACACTGGCTGTCACAATTTTAAGTTCAGTATATTTTTTGGTAACAGCTTCAATGCCTTCGGGGGCAGCAACTAAATTCAGGAATAAAATTTTGTTTTCTTTTACTCCATGAGACAATAATACTTCGATAGCTTTAATAGCTGATCCACCAGTTGCTTTAATAAAATTGTTTTAGAATTTAATTTAAAATATACGTAAATATATAACTTTGTATGTTATACGTACCAAGCATTGGATCCAATAAAAGAACATATCGATCATCTATATCTGGAGGTAATTTAGAATAATAAAGCTAGAAAATTTTATAAAAATTTTTTAATTTCATCGATAACGTAAATCAACCTTCTTTAATATCGCAAATTATTTTACCATTTTTAATATTTACCTTGGGTAGAGCCGTCTCTTCATCACGTTGAATCAAGATCTTTCCAATTCTTACACTCCTAAATATCCATAAAATTTTAAGACAAAACAATTTTTTTTTTAAAAAAAAAAAAATATTAAGAATGAAGTAAACCTGCAACAGTCACGTAATCCTTGTTCCATAGATTCACCTGCACGCATAATAGAAACACCACATATCTTACCCTTGAAACCAACACCTTCATATTTGGTACCTAATTTATTAAGAGATAAAATTAGTCAATCCAACTAATTTTAAAAGAACACGATCATTTAAATTACTTGTTGGAGTGACAATAGCTTTCTCCACAACAGGCAAATGATTTAATCCTAAATGTCAGGAAAAAAACGCGTTATTATTAATTGTAAAGCTAGAGTAAGGAAATTGTAGTTCAAAAAAACATTTACCTTCTTCCACAAGTAACCTAATGATTCTATTCGAATAGAATATAAAGTCACCGCGGTTCGTATTTTTATCTCGAATAATAGTTAATAAAGCTTCCAATTGGTTGGTTTGGGGAAGGCATATTACATTAGAAGGAAGGTCATGCTACTTTATATAAATTTATATAATATATTTTTTTTTTAAAGGAGGATATGGTTAGAAGTAAATATGGCGTCGTAAAAGAAATACAAATATAAATATTCGAACAATGCTACCATTTTTTTTCAGTTTCTTCTAAGAAGGTTATTAGTGGGAAAAAAAAAGAAAAAAAGAAAAAAAAAAACTGGTACTTGAATTCTGTTAAACTTTTGTTTATGTTGAAAGATCACCAGTGACGGATATGGTAATATTCGGCATCACGATAGTTCAATTAAGTTCTCTACTGGTAAAGTGACGATCAAATTAATCACATGATTGTCATCCAAAACTTTAAGGTTAATTTGATTGGACAGATCTGCACGGATAACGATATGTTAGTAAAGCCGGGATGTTGTTCACGCACGTTTTCCCTATTTTATCCATTATTCCGAAATATTTTCGGCTTAATATATACTGATGGGAAAAAACTTTTTTTTTTTTTTTTTCATCCTTCCACAATCAAAGGAGTTATGATGATAATAGGCCGTATGATGAGAAGAGTACCTCGTTTTCTTTAAAACTTGGGACCAAATGATAAAGTGTGCTTGGCCACTTATACCTTGTTACATCATTAAAGCACACATGATGCCTATCTGAACAAAAAAAATATCTTTGATATTATTTGGAAGTGATTATTAAAAAATTTTTTTTTTTTTTATCTTTTGAAGCAAATGAAACTTTGTTATTATATCCTTATAAAATATAGACACCTTAGGTGCATTGTTTTTCTTCATGGTGACTAGTATTGTACTTTTTTCAACTTTATTATACTTTGCAAAATGCGGTTACTGGTGCTCAACATCATAGAATGTGTTTTCACAAAAACTATGCCCTTAATCAAGGAATTAAAATTGCTCAACGCCCTCAAAGATGGTCAGAAAAAAGATTTAATTAGTACTATTATTTTTTTGTGTTGAAAGTGAAGTATATGTATGCTACAGCATTTGTACTGTAATGTGAAATACAATTATTACATTAATAACCAAATTATTAATAATTTAGAATAAAGTTAGGATAACAAATAAAAAAAATGCATAAACCATATAACTATGGTGTTGAACACCGTTGGTGTGAAATATAGTTTTTGTTATTTTTATTGAATTTTTAATTTATTCTTATCGACGGGATCAAGAAAAACAAATATCTTGATAGAAGGGTTTTTGTAGATGACAATAAATTTTGTTCTTTTTTATTTATAAAATTTATTAAATAAAAAAAAGACAATGCCTTTATAGTATTGCAATATTCCACATATTATTGTCCATTAAACAAGATACAGGGAAAGATCGATCATTACGTTCTTCTCAATCTTGAATTATTTCTATTACTAATTCTACTTTTTCTTACCAATCTTTTATTATCTATCTGTTGTGATTTTGGTGGTTCATAACTCCAATGAGGTTCAGGAGCCTTGTCTAATCCAAATAACTTTGAATCTTTACGTATAGCATATTCATATGCTACTCTACGTTCGCTTAGTACATGTTTAATTCTTGCCATCGATTTCTGACACTAAATACATATATATATATATTTATTAATTAATTAATTAGATGTATGTGTTAAAATCGGAACAATAATAATTTCATTCTTAATAGATCGTACCTTAAATGTTCTTTCGCGAAATGCTTCAATCCATGGCTGATTATGTATTTTGTTCCATCTTTTTGCTTCTAACCACATCGTACCAAGTAAATTACGTTCTTTAAGTAAAACGTACCAAAGTTTATGTAAATCTTCAAATGATTTGCGTCTTAATTCTGATGCTGTCCATGCTCGTCCTAAAAAATAAAATTCACTTAAAAAGTAAATAAAAAAGAAATTTATCTTTGTTATATAGTTTTTTTTTTTTTTCAAAGAAAAGAAGTAAAAAAAAAAAAAACAAAGAAATCTCTTTTTTTTTTTTGAAAGTGAATTATTTTTTATTTTTAACCTGTAATCATATCTTTTGACGTTGGTACTGGATTGGGATTTTTAGCACCTCCTTGAAAAAATTCGTATAATCCCACTACTCCTTTACTTTTACTAGGTTCCCAATCAAATAATTTATTTGTAGTTCGCAATGAACGATATAAAATTGAAAACTTATTCATTTTATTCATTTTTAATAAAATTTGAAAAAAAAAAAAATTTGATAAAGATCCATTTTATACTGATGAGAAATCACATGATTCAACAAAACATATTGTACATACATTTCATAGTAAAAAAAAAACACTTTTTTTGGTTTTTATAGAAAATAAAACAATAAGTGCAATAACTTTTTTAACAATATTATACAATAAAAAAATTTTTGTTCTATATACTTTGGTTCACCTGTTAATTTCTCTTGATAATTTCTTCTTATTTGCCGCACTTCATACAATGTTTTTTTGTATCGCTCGCGTTTATTATGCATATCGATCAAAATTCACGTCAATAATACGACCTCCATATGTGTATCCACTGAATTTTTCTATTAAATGTAATAATATCAGATATAGAATAAAATTGATGATATTCAAAGTATATTCATAGTAAAAATCTATAAACTAAGACTAACTTACCAACAGCAAAACGAGCCGATTCACTAGATTCAAATGAAACTATACCGGCGCCTTTAGGTCTTCCATTTTGTTCTAAAATCTCGGCCCTAATTACATTTCCTATTTTATTTAACATGTATAGCATTCATGTTTGTATAGAAATATAATGAGAATATAATTAACAAATGAATATAATTAATAAAAAAAAAAAAAAAAATAAGTAAATTATATTTACCGCAGTGTTTGAAAAGTTCTCTTAAATCGAGATTTGTTGTAGTAAAGGGTAGCTAATGTTTTCCCAACAAAAAAAAGTGTGCCAATATTATTAATCCCAACTTATTTCTTTTTTAACTTTAATTTACGAATTTCCTATAAAATCTATCTTTCTCCTATCCCTAACACTACTTTCTCTCTCTTTTTTTTTGCTTTAATCTCAAAGAGTTATTAACGCACAAAAAAAAAGTAATCTTAAAATACTCATCGATAAATTGTTCCATATACAACCACAATCACATCCCATATTTAACAACTCATTTCACCATCTTTGTTATTAAACCTTACATTTCTGACAAAGATTTGATTTCCAGCTGCCCCACCGGATGCACCAGGTGTAGGGTAGAACCCTGTTGACCCGTCATATCCTGCAGCTCCTGGGTATGGCGCACCGTAACCTCCACCAAATCCACCGGCATAATCCATCATGCCCGCACCAGTAGTGCCGAAATCATTATACCCGCCATATCCATCGTATTGATCTGGAACGGGTACCATAGATTGATAACCTCCTGGATATGCCGGATTAGGGGCTGGTGGTGCACCATAAAATCCTGCATTTCCGCCATGAGGAAAATGGTTACCGCCTCCATAGGGTGGTCGAGGAGGACGTGCTGAAAATCTTGGTGGTGGTGGCCCTCCAGCAAAACGATCCTACGTTATATGAATGATAAAGGAAAAAAAAAAAACGTATTCGGGAAAAGAAAACCCACCAACTCAATACTTGCCTCTCATATAAATCAATTATTTACGACAATAAAAAAAAAAAAAATTAAGGTAAAAAAAGCTCATTTTGAGCTACGTTATAACCACAATTGCAATAAATTCATTCGTTTTTTCCATCCAAACTTTAAACCAAAATAACCAAACAAACAGCATCCCACCTCACGGACTTCAATCCTTCTACCATTCAATTCGTACCCATCGTACATAGCTAAAATAAAAATAACCATTTAGCTTATAAATCCCTAAATATCAACCACTCTTGTTCATTCATTTATCATCTTCTTTCTTTTAAACTTTTTTTTCTATAAAATCTATACAAATCCTATACTTAAGCACAACGTACAAATCGCATTAGCAGCATCTCCTGCTGTTTCAAACAGTACAGTTCCTGAACCTTTAGGTCGTCGATCAGGCCCAACAAGAATGTCCGCTCGGATTATATTCCCTGTTTTAATCGAAGTTGTTATTATTAGACAACAGAGAAAACAGAGAGGATGAATCAATCCATCGACAAAAAATCATGTCATACCTGCAGCCCTAAATAGATCCTTTAATTCTTGCCATCCTACTGAGAATGGCAACTTTAAATGACATGTATAAATATAATTTCACATTATCAAATGAAACAATATGAAATACTTTCTTCAATAATTAGATCTTCACTTACGTTTCCTACATAGATTTGCCTTCCCGCATTGTTGGGTATATTTGGATGGGGATGATGATGATTTCCAGTAGGAGGAAATCCGGCGGCTTTTTCAGGCCTAATATTTAATCCTGTACCGAACTTAGCCTCTGACTCACGATCCTAGATAACAAGAATGTTAAAAGTCACATACTAATAAATCCAGTAAAAATTTTTAATCTCAGATACCTCTCGAATAAATACAGGTCTTCCTAATAGATGTGTATCGTTGAGTGTTTGAATAGCTCGTCTAGCCTCTTCAGGTGTACGATATTCAACCACTCTAAAATTGAATTGATCAAATATTAATTTAATACGTGATTTTATTGGAAGCAGGCGTAATTGATGATTCTTATAGACTTACCCACAACCCTATGAAAATTAAATAATAGTCGAATTTAATAATATTATATTTATTAAGAAACAAACGATAATTATTTACTACCTTTGACATGCCATTAGGTTGCATCAATACATCTGCAAATACAACTTCACCCGCTATATAATATTCATATTCAACAACAAAAAGTTAATGTTGATATAAATTATCCAGAAATAAAGAAAAAAATTATTAAATAAAATAAATACAACTGTTACAGACCTTGACGCATAAAATCCTTTAATTGACCCCATTTAACTTCATAAGCTAAATTACCAACATAAACACGGCATTCCTTTTGTGATCTCTGAGAAGCATTTATAGCTTTCAAAAATACAAAATGAAAATATAACGCATTTATAATACGATTAAAATAAAATAAAATAAACATATAGTTAAAATCTATTGTCAAACCTTGTGAGAAATGTTTTGATGACGAGGATAGTGAGGATGATGTTGATCTCTTTATACTAATGCGTCCTTGGATCGAATTCTTTGATGATGATGATGATGAAAAAGGTTTCAACTTACCTGCCGATTCTCTTGCTGATAATCTTGGACCATAATTTCTATCAGGTCTAAAATTAGTACCACGAACAAAGAATTTATCTCTTGAACGACTTCTTTCTCTTCTATCACGCTCCCTCTCAGAACGAGGATCCCTGGAAGTACTATGCCTTTCTCTCTCGAGTTCTCTTTCTCTTCTTTCTCGTTCTGACTCATAATGATCGTTATATGATGGGCGGCGAGTTGTAGGACGGTATGAATCTGTGTATGGCTCTCTCGCTGGCGAACGCGGAGAACGGGAACGTCTTGGAGATCTTCGTGGCGACCTAGAGCGACGAGGAGATCTAGAACGCCGACGCGGTGATTGAGATCTACTAGTAGTTACTCTTAATGAATAATCGATGTATCCCCTTGTCAATTAAATTGAATAATTAGTACGTCCTAAAATCAAATTTATAAAGTAAATAAAAAGGGGCTAATACCTTCGCCGATGTCTATATTCTTCGTCGTCTACTCGATTACGTCTACGTTCCTCTTCAAAAAGCTCCTCGTGGTTATCCAGATCGTCAGGAGCTGTCAAAGAATGCAACGTCGAATTGATTGGATCGATCAATTCATCCGTGGGAGTATGAGGTCCCGAAGAAATTTTATCAGATTTACTGTCTCCCCAATTGTCGGACTTGCTATCTCCCCAATTATCAGACTTATTGTCTTCCCAATTACTCATCTTTTAGTGCGAGTATTAGATATCGACTTTTTTTAATGAAAAAGAATAAAAACAAAAGATCAGCCAAAAGCTTTATATAAAATGTCAGGTGATTTTGTATTTATGACGTCACCATTATTATTTCAACACAATAAATTTTTATTCATACATATAACAAATACATAATAACAGATAAATTATTTTAAATATGTTTTTTAAATAAATAATAATATAAATACTCGAACCATTTAAATCAGTTTTTTTTTAGGCAATAACTTTTCAAATTTATTCACAATCTCAGTTATTTCCTTTAAAGCAACATTATCTAAACCATTTGTCTGATTTGGATTAAATATAGAAATATGAGCTTCAATTTCATCTTCATTCATACTTGTAAGAGCTGAAAAATAAGTTTTCACATCTGATGGTGGCAATTTAATGAATGTTCTTGTTTCTTTATATTGGCCTGCCGGTGGAATCTAAAATATCAATAAAAATTTTTCAGTATATGTAAAATTTTTTATTTTTTCAAAAATTCATTTAACTTACTTCAGTATAATAACAATGAAAGAGGCAATTATCTAATTTAATCAAATTATTAACCCTATAAGATCAAAATAATTTAGTCATATAAATATATTTAGAATTTTTTTTTTTTTTCCAATATTAAGTTTATATTACCTTTCTACTAATTCAGTAGGATTAAATAAAACACCAACAAATTCAAAATGACTTCCCAGGTAATCGGTACCTTGATTAACTAAGTCTTTATTATAATAAGCAGCAGCACCAGCAGCAGCAACACCAGCAAACCCAGCTACAGCTGCTAAACCCCATTTTCCCCATCCTGAAGATGGAGAAGTTGGTGGGTTTTCTACAGTCTCAACGGCTTTAGTATTCGTTTTAGAAGAAGAAAAAAATCCTCCAGCTGAAGCAGCACTTGATAAAAAAGTATAAGAACCAGTTACACTTTGTTTAACTTTATTAGCTCGTGCTAATGCAGCCTTGGTAAAAACATTATTATCTACTCCAAAATATGGAGTGTCAAATGCAAGTAATCCAATTATTTTCGGTGGACGTGTTTCCGTTTGATTTTTATATTTTAAAATTGCTTCTGCAGCTATTAAATAAATAAAATAAAATATTAGTAAAAATACTCATTTTTTCTTTTGATGAGTAAAAAACATTTAAACTTACCTAAAATACCTCCCATAGAATGGCCAACTAAGCATACCCAAACATCACCATTACCACTTATCTGCTTTTCTTTTTCCTCAACAACTCCCTCTAGCCATAAACAAAACATCTCAACAGCTTTCTTTAAGTCTCCTCGAGTCTCATATCGAGGATAAATTAGTGGTTCTGCTTCTACGCTTTGTATGGTTTCTGTTAGTGCATATTGAAGGCGAACTGGGAAATCCTAAAATTTTTTTTTTATGTTAAGAAATAGTGTAACCGTGTAACCGCAAAGGCCAAAAATAGGAAGAAAGATGGTTTTTAATTAAAAAAAACAAACCTTAAAAGTATGATCATCACCTTTAAAACCATGAATGAATATAAGTAAAAGTTTATGATAGTTTGTAGGAGTAGTAACTGACATTATGTAAAAAGTTGTAGGTTATCAATGAAAAAATTGATTGTTTAAATAATTCCAATTGATCGTCATTCAACAAATGATTTCATTGGATTATAATCGATCATTCTTTCCTATTATTCAAATTTTCCAATTTCAAAAATTTCATTTTTTCATTTTTTTTGCCTTCTAAATTTCCAATTCGTTCGTCAGATCGAGCGTTCTAACTATAAAATAGGGAATTTTAAATAAAGTTTCCATGCACAGGAATGTAACCAAAATTGACTGTTTTTTGCCTATTATTAACGTGAGATAGTTACAGCATTAGGGTTTCGCTGATAATTCTAATCTTCAGTTAATTAATGAATGCCAAGATTAGAGGATTAGATGAAGTAAATTAATTTATTTGTTATACTTTATGGGAAATTTATTGTTGTATTTATGGGTAAATACACTAAAATAGCATTGTTTAAAAAAATAATTATTTCTTCCTCTTTATCTTTTATCAATTTTATTGTAATGACCAAATGAGTATAACGGCAAACAAAAGTTGTATCATGTAATTATATTATTAAATTTAAAATTTATTCGTTTCTCAGTTGCGGCGCAACATGTAAAGAGTAATTAACTAACTAATAAATTACATTTTGTCATTACCTATCTTTTTTTGATTCAGTCCTCCTAATCTTCTTTCATATTTACTTTTACACTCCTAATGTTTTCTTTTAGGTTTACCTTTTTTTCCTTTTTTTTTATCCTTACATTTTTCTTTTTCTTCTTTTCCTTTTCCTTTTTCGCCTTTTCCTTTTCCTTTTCCTTTTCCTTTTCCTGTAACTGCAATTCTTATGCAATCGTCTTGAGCACCTATATTTTAAGCTTTTTAAATAACTAGTTTTTTTAAAAAAAATAAAAAATTAACTTTCTTACCTCTTTTAGCGATCGGCATAAGAAGAGGCTGATGACTGAGAGAAGCAGACAAGGTACAAATTCTAAATCTACCAGCAGGTAAACCTGGAGTGCCATCCTTCCTAACGACATCAACGGATAAATGACCCCTTTTGGCTTTTACATTTACTCCTTCAAAGAACACAAAATTTTCGGCATTTGGAGGGAAAGGGTTATCTAAAAGTTCTTGAATAGTAACATGTGTATGACCTTCTATTACACCATTACGATTAAGTGATTGTGGTTTAGTGTAATATTCTTTTTCTGGATCACTAAAGTGCCCAGTTTCCAAATGACTAATTAAAATATCAACGCTAAATGGTTTATTAGCTTCCAAAACTTCTTCATTCCTTGGGGAAGTGATAAATGTTGAAGTCATTTGTTTAACAGATGGAATATCTCCTTGGATGGTATTAGAACAAGATCCGTCACGATTTTGTGTACCATCACTTAATTTTTTATGATTACAAAAACCTGATAAAACTTCATTAGCTGAGAGAGTTAAGAGAACAATAACGTAAATGTGAAAGAACTTCATTTTTTATAATTTAATTCTGGGTATGTTAAAAAGAAAAATGTGTTATTTAGGAAAAGTAAGGAAAGATACGAAAGAAGTTGCGCCTGGCAACTAAATAAAATGATTAAAAAATTTCTTAAAGTTAAAGAAAGTATAAAACCCCATGTTTAAATATCAATTGGTAAAATCATAGAATCATATACTGATACAAGCATTCTGAGAAATTTCCTTTTTTATTTCTTTAAATTACCATTATAACATGAGGAATTAATGCTGAAATTATACACAGAGCAACATATTAAAATGATCAAATGATCATTAAATATATTTCTTTTTGTTACCAAATTTCTTTCAATTTACTTGATTACCCCACAATAAAGTTAATAAAGTTGATTCACGCAACTCACGCGTACATCACATATGATCATATCGATCCTATTAAAAATCTATGCTATCTATGCTCTTTTATAAGATTAACATTATGAATTATTTCGTGTTTCAAGTCATTTTAATAAATTTTTTTCATAATCACATGATATTTTCTATATTTTCTCCAATATGGAATCCCATATTAATATAATATCCAAATCGTTTAACAGTATGCATAATTACAAATTCGTCTCACCGAGCATATTTTGGTCCCTGTGATATAATTTGTGTAATATGATCCTGAATCTAAGCCATATCTAATTGTATACTTTCACGTGATGCAATCAAAAAAGTAAAATTTTATTTAATATTTTCAGTAATTCTTTAGTTTTAATGTATTTCTTTGTAATACAGAAACCAGGATTTGTAAAGAATAAACATGATATATATGGAAATAATAAACTAAAAGAATTATTATCGAACAAAACCAATTTAATTCTCCCACTCAATATAAAATTTTTCTCAAAATTAATATAACAATAACATCTTACGCTTTACCACCAGAAGAAGAAGGAGCAGCAGTAGTTTTAGCACCTTTAGTAGATTTTTTTGATTGAGAAGCACCACCACTCGCACCAGTAGCACTAGTAACGGTAGGTGTGGGCTTAACTCTATCACTACCTTTCTTCTTAGGTAATAATTCAGCATGAATATTAGGTAAAACACCACCTTCAGCTATATGTACGTGTCTTAGTAGAATATTTAATTCTTCATCATTCCGTATAGCTAATTGTAAATGTCTTGGTATAATACGTTGTTTCTTATTATCCCGCGCAGCATTTCCCGCTAATTCTAAAACTTCTGCTGTTAAATATTCTATTACTGCTGCTAAATATACTGGAGCACCTGCTCCTATTCTATCTGCGTATCTTCCTTTTTTCAATAATCTTGCCATACGACCAACTGGAAAAGTCAACCCTTTAAAAAAAGAAAAGGAGAAAAAAAAAAAAAAAA